TCTTGCTCATTTTGCCTCCGAGATATGAGCAAAAATGGGCCGGAAAACATGAAATTTTGGCATAATCTTGAACCTAAGTGTTTGATATTCAAATTTCCCTTTCTGGGTCAAAACTACTCGAATTTCCTCACTCACGTTGTTACGACTGAATCGACTTTTCAATTTTCTATCCAACGATGCTAAAGCAAATTCTGTGGCTCGAATGGTTTTTGAGAAACTTCGAAAAAAGCAGCATCATGTTCAAGTGGATTTTGCAACTCAAAAAAAAACCCACGCAAACCTAAAACTTCTTGAATTCAAGCCTTTTTTGAGAAAACTGAAAGCATTTCCTTATCACTTTCTAAAAATGCCATTTACTTCTCTCTAGAATGATGTACAAATGAGCGTTCTTGCTCATTTTTCCTCCGAGAAATGAGCAAAAATGAGACGGAAAACATTAAATTTTGCCATAATCTTGCACCTAAGTGTGTGATATTCAAATTTCGCTTTCTGGGTCAAAACTACTCGAATTTCCTCACTCACGATGTTACGACTGAATCGACTTTTCAATCGTCTATCCAACGATGCCAAAACGAATTCTGTGGATCGAATGTTTCTTGAGAAACTTCGAATAAAGGCTCATTTTGCTTCCGAGAAACATGCAAAACGGTACGGAAAACATGAAATTTTGCAATAATCTTGCGCCACCCTTGCACAAAACGACGATAATAACGATAAGGCGAGTCCAGGAGAGGCAAAACAATGCGGAACTTCGTGGAAAAACAAACAAACCGAATTGTGGACAAACAGTTATTTTTGAACTCAAGTGTTCGTTTGGATCATATTTTCTATAGACCGGCATTAGAAAATCTATAAGAAGCTTTGTTTGGTCAAGGCTTTAACCCTCCTAATAACACTTGTATAGGAATGGGTCGTCTTATTGCAAGTTTGCCCTCAGCGACAAAAAGCGCTTTGCTATTCCATAGAAAATTGGCTGGATGTCAGTCGCAAAAAAAATACTGAGAGCCATAATCCAATGTATCGGAAATCGGCCCTTTATCCAAACCCGAATGTTTTCTTTTGCGGGAAATTCGGATTGTGTGCTTGTACGAAAACCGTATAATATCTAAATAAACATCGATCAAGAGAACAATATGCGGATCTCCAAGCAGATTTGATCGATGTTAAATTGATTCAGAGGGATCTTTTTGATCTGCATAGCATTGTTTTTGCTTGTCTAATCACATTACATTAGGCATGGGAAACTCGGCTAATTTCCAGGAGTTTCAAGAGTTAATCTCAAGGCACCGGTGCAGCTGCGTTGCAGTCACCCACTTGGCAAAATATGGTTTGTTAGCTGTTGAAACTACAGCCCCGGGCCCCCTAAAGCATCAATTAAAAGTGCCGCCCAAGGAGACGCGATGAGTTATAATGAAGAACTCAGAACTGAAAAGAGCTCTGCAGCTTTTTTGCGGTGAATTCGAATATAAACCAGTCTACGATTCAGTATGGTGAGTGGCGGAAAAATCGCTCGCGTTTTGTTCGCCGAACCCATAAACATCGCCTACCGGCTCGCGGTACCCAGAGTGATGCAGAAACGGTACCGGGCCGATCTAACCGTAACTCAGTGGCAAAACTATGGGGCATCTGCGAAATGTTGTGCAATTATATCGGATCGCAGCGAACCATTATGGTCCCAAAGTGTGGACTAGTAGTAGTAGCGAACAGCATTGTGCATTAAGGGTACCGTTCGTTGTCTAATTAAAGTGCGAGCCGAGGCCAACGCAATGGCAGTTTTGCCTCTTTAACGTTTGCTGCTGATTGGGTACCGGTTTGACACGCACTCGAACCACGAAAACCCGCAAATAACACGCCGGCACCAACACGATTGCCATTCATTTACCGGGCAAAATGATTTAAAATTTCC